CAAATTGTTAATTTTTTTAAACCCGAAAATATTCCCACATATGTTTAAACAGAGACAAATGTTTATGATAAAAATAAAAAACTGCTGGTGTATATATAGCTAACTGGATGAAATGTAAAGCCAAGTTTACTATTATATTTACTTATTGTTGCACTACAAAATGCTGTGGCATGACGCTTGCATTGATCTGAAGACTGCTGCCATTTTCACTTTAGTCACGGCTTAGATTTTTTGTACCATCAACTGGGCAAGTGTTACCATCCTTTGTCGGTGAGTCTGCAGAGTGATCATTTAGTCTCTTGCTTCAGTGAACATTTGTTTCCAATTGTATTTCCAAAAAATAATGCTTCAATGATGAAATAGTTATAACTAGCTATAAGGTTATTTAAGAAGTAGGACCTCTGAGATCAAGTCTATCTCCGAAAGGACCGATCCAAACGTTAAATACGTGTAAAGTGCCTTTCTCAAGGACTCAACGGCAAACCGAATTGAGGCTCGAACCCCCAAACCCGAATCTCACGATTACAGGTCTGATAGCCTAACCTGTATGCTTCCCACGCCACAAAATCGTATTTCCAAATATGAAACGTTTTCCGAGATGGTAATACAAGGTATGCATGTGACAAGATATTTCACCTCGAGTCTATTTGATGAAATGAAACTGTTAAATGAAGCAAAAAATGAAGGATGAAAGTAAAAGTGAAAATGAAAATAAACCAGTTTAAACAAAAAAGAATGGTTATGATAAGACAAGCGTTCTCGTATGTTAAGAAAATGTGTCTAGGGGGAAAGACATTTCACCCCCAATCTATCGATGAGTTGCCATTAAAAGCTTGCCTTAATGCACGAGTGTTGTTACATACCAAGCATACTTCATTGTGGGGATTGTTGGAACAGTTTCTTTGAGAGGGATAGGTTGAAATGATAGTTGCCATTCCCTCTACTTGAAAGTCATGAAAGACCAGGCCACCCTCGGCACTGACAGCAAGTGTCATCGTCCAGTTCGGTCCCCTTTCACCACGCACTACTGGAACACTCATGCCCCCGTCTCATGTACATGTTTTATATATCTAGATCTAGATTCTAGGCTACTTTTTTTCCAGTAGTATTTTGTATGCTGAACACAAATATGGCCTTCATTTTTGCTGCAAATCAATAGTTATTGAGTTATTGATGTTTGAAAATAGTAATATTTGACTTGATTTTAACAACATGGGGGGGCATGCCCCCCTGCATACAAGGGTTTTAGTGGCCATACGTGTGTTCTACAACAAAAAATTATGGCAGTTCAGCCCTCAAATCAATGCATCTGTGTGTGGGTGCGTAAGTAAAAATTTACTGGAGTGACTAAATGCAAAATAGGTTATTGCCAAAGTCGGGCAGTCTTGTTTTTTTGCAGTACCCTTTGAAGGCATTTTCAACAAATGAAGTATAGCCAGGGAACGTTGTCCCAACCACAGTTGAAGTATCTGAATATTCAGACATCTAAAAATCTCTAGCTCTAGAAATTGAATTCGATGCAAAAAATGCTTCTTCTCAGTCCTCGCAGAATGAAAGATGATGCCAAACTCTCGCAAATAACCAAAAAATCTGAAGAACGGAAACCGTTCGGAAAAACAGAGATCAAATTTATTTTTCTGAATGTTTGGAGAAATAGTCACTTCGTATAATGAATGTTATCCAAAACGGAGGATACGATAAAGGGGGGAACTTTTCATTCATAACATAGGCTTATAATCTACTTTGTTTTGGTTTCCTGCCCTTTTGCTTCCTTTTCATTTTTGTTTTGGTAAGTATTTTACGGCGCTGGCAACTGCATAAGGTCGTATGAGCCGCGGCGTCACTTTTCGCCAGATTCTGTTACTTTTAGTTAGCGTTGACTCAGCAGCTCGCCTGAGCTCCCCTGCTCAGGGTCATGGGGCTAATGAGCCCTGAAGCGACTTTGCCGGTGTTGGTTAAGAAGTTTGCATTTTTGTCAACGTTTGAAATCATAACTTCTTCCCCATCCCACACAGCAAATCATTTCACTGATGTACTCAAAGTAAAAGCTCAATGTCTTGAGATTTATTCTACGTTAGAGCTTGGTTAAATTCTGTGCCTTAGTTTTTGTTCTAGACAAGTGTTTATGGAGTACCCAATTTGTCTTATTTTAGTTCAAACTTATGAATAAATGATTGTTTATTTAAAAACGGCACAGCAGATCTCTCCAAAATCTGTGTTAATCTGACTATGAATATCATGTCTTTTACCATAAATCTTAAATCTGCGCAAGTAGTCATAGTCAACTTATTATTAGAGAAGAAAGATGTGCATATTTGCATTTTTTAACTAAGACACTCAGCATTAGCTCTTGTTTTACCATTGAACAAGAGAAAGTTACTCTGCGTTTGTTCATGAATCATGCTGTGTCCGTGGCAGCCTGCGTACAGCTAAGAAAGATATATTATGTGATTTTTTAAAAGCACAAAACTGTAAATACATGGGTGGTGATAAACTTCTTGTATGGAATAAAAATAATGACAGCTAACACTAACACATATTCATTCTTAGCTTTTGTGTCGGAAATATGCACAGACACTTATGAATGCAAAGAAATCAGAACATTGTCAGTTATTGCAAATGGTCTTAGAAACGAAAATAAAACTGGAAAAGTCTGGTGCTGATTCGGTATCACTAGAAAGCTGGAAATTATTCTTATAATCCAATTACGAGAAATACATCCCTATTATTTAGTCAACTTACAAACCCTAGACTTAGCATTTTAATAAAAGTAAGGAATTTCTGGAGTGTAAGTCTGTTCGTGTAATACATTGTAGATGTATTCTGGCACTTAAATCTATTTGTACTTTTCATAGAGAGACGTCAGGGTAATTTTATAAACTTTAGAGAAAATATGCGAATATTCACGGTTGTATTAGACACATAAAGTTGTATTTGGAGGAATTACTTCATAGCGAATTGCATGCCAGATGGATAAAATTACAGCTTTCTATTATATGCGCAGATACCATTCTAGACTTGTCTTTTCTGAGTATTTGCATCAATGCTATGTCGTTCATGTTTGACAGTTTTTGTCATGCCGTTTTTTTATTTGATTTTTTTTTCATCTGCATTTGTCAAAAAAATTTTGCAAGTTAGTACAGTGGAATCCTGTTATAACGAGAGGGAGGGGACCGGTGCGAAAAGTCCATTATACCAGGATTGTCGTTATAAGGAATCCAGTAATAAATTCAATGGAAATAATAAAGTAGGCCTAATCTATGAGTTTGGTGTTCTGTTTATTTCTTTTTGTTATCTCTCCTGATGATGACATTGTTCAACATGACCTCTAGGTCTTACCTGATCAAAAATCAAATCGTTACTACACATTCACTCCATCCTTCACAGCATTGTGACCTCTCTATCCCCGCATTGGAGAAGTGAGGGAATGGGTAGTGGTAGGCCTAGATAATCTAGACTAGGCTGGCCTATCACACGATGCGTTCTGCTTATCTGCGCTTACCACACCCTCCTCATTCATTCGCTCCGGCCTTCATTGTTGGCCAACGTGGGCTTTCCCATTTTTTGTTTCGCTAAAGGAGTTGATGTAAGGTCCTAGGTTTCGCTAGATCACCAACATGTTTCTCAACTGGCGAGGTTTATATGGCCTGTGCGCTGTGCACAGCAGCAGCAATATTCCGCTATAACCAACTCCTGTGTTTGTCCGATTGCGCCATAGCAGTATTTTATTTACAAAGATAAAGAAGGGAAAAAAACGGGGTTTTAGAATAGTGTCTTTATAACAGACTTCTCGTTGTTTCAGGACTCGTTATAAGTGGACTCCACTGTATTGCCGACTTCTACGTGTTTAACGAAATAACCGGACAAGTTACAATGTCCGTTCTTTTTTTAGTGGCAAGAGCAGAAATGCGTGCTTTGGGTACGTCAAATGATAATTACCATAAATACAAGGATACACCTAAAACTGTATGTTGAAAAGTACCAAAAATTAAGTCAGTCCAGACAGAGCGGCGACAGGGAGCTGACTCCCGTGACCTTGAAGTGATAAGGCACTCAGCGGGGAATCCCCGGCTTCAACTAAAATTCCACTTCCGGTGCGCCGTGGAGCGAGCAGGACACATTGAGACCATTTTCAGTTTGGTCAGAATTAATTTTGAATTTTCGACGATTGGCGGCTGAAGCCTAGATGTACTCCTTATTTTATATTTTATCTTTTCGTTTAGAAGTAAGAAACAATGGAATGAAGGATGCAGGACCTTTTAAAGGACAGGCGGACCTCATTATTTGAGCACACTCTTTTGCACCCTACATTTAACACCTCTTTGAATCAGATGTGGCGTCGGTGGCCTAGTGATTAGGCTCTTGGACTCACAACTGTAATGTTTTCGAATCCCGTCAGGGTCCCGACGTCATGTTTTCCTTACTTCACTCCAAAGGGAACTGGTACCCAGCTGTAGATAACGAAAGATCTTGTCAGTTTGTTAGTGAGTTAGTGTTTGGTTTGAGCATGTTTGCAATCCTCAGCTTGCACTGTATACTTCCTGGGAAGCTGAGAATGCTTCTTAATCTTACTATTCTAGGGTCTGCTGGAGTAATAATAAAGCACATAGAGCAAGCTGTAGAGCATAGATTTGTGCTATAAATGCAATTGTTATATAAATTAATAGATGAATGCTGTACTGTACTGGGAGGATTTTTGAGGGCTTGGGCCTGGGGCAGCTGCCTTGGCAACAGATCACTGTCCATGCGTTTATATAATATTCATGACAGGACAGGCCAATTTATTGTCCTTTCTCTGGCCAATTTATTGTCCATTGTCTCATCGTATGAAATCCCACAGTTCCTACCCGACCTGGTGTCTTATTTTTTTCCCCCATCCATTTCACAAAAAGCATATATATGGTCACATCATGTGTTGTAGCAGTATAACTCACTAAAGGCTCTTTGTGGAATGATGCTGAAAGTAAGAAATGTAATGCTGAGTAGGTTTATAATTTATTCTATACCTCTCTTCCTTTCAAATCTAGCTGGACTCACCTGCTGTTGTCAAGTGCTCAAAACACGCTGAAGGATTTTCATAGAATTGCTCTAGAGCTAATTGAAAGCATGGAAAATAACCAGAGAGGAGGTGAAGATGGAGACCCAGAAGCCTCGGAGCCTGTCCCTCTCGATGGAAGTGCAGCTGCTAGTTCTTCATCTATGAGTAATGCTGAGGACAGAGATACAGACTTTGGTTTAGACAATTTAACAGTGACGTCTTTGGACACCCTGGGGACTGCTAACCTTCTGACGAGACTGATGATTCAAAACAACTTGCACAGGTTTGACGGAACTGTGGAGGATGAGGAAGAGATTGTTTCTGTCACAAGTGTTGCCCTTGATGGGTCTTCCATTGTGAGCTACTGTAACTGTGACCATGCCAAGTCAATTTGGTGTAGCCGTAATCAAGGCTTCATGAATGTTCTTGCCAGAATTTACTCTGAGCGGAAAGGTCAACTACCAGCAGGGTCAGCCTCTGTTGTGGCCAGTCTTATTGTCGCCCGTGAATATGGAGAGTCGTCTGTGTACACATGCCCAGATTGTGCATGCTCTTTACGGTACTACAATGTGTACAACACAAGGGCAGACATGCAGGAGCAACTCCTTGATGCGATTCGCCATCATGATGTGCGTATAGTTGAAGATCTGCTAGAGAAACGACAGCTGAACCCAAACTATGAGCTCCACAAGAAGAACCCAATTTGCCGTGCTGTGGGGCTGGGCAACATTGAGATCATCACGCTTCTGCTGGATGCTGGAGCAGAAGTGGACACGCCCAACCATGCAGATTTGATGTGGGACAGAAAGCCAGTACACATTGCAGCCTGCAAAGGCCATTTGGCCAGTATACAGTTGCTGATTTCCAGAGGGGCCGACATCAATCAGGTGGATAGTGATCAGAGGACTCCACTACACTGGGTGGCCATGTACGGACACAGTCATTTGATTCCTGTAAGTCCTTATATTGCATTATGATGTTGTTATTGTCATTTCAAAGAAGGAAGTAAGGAAGCAGTCCGATACTTTTTTTTGAGGCTTATAAATTAACACTCAATCTTCATCAAAAACTGTTGAATATATGGATAGGTTTAGTATCCCAGATTCTCATACATAACGATAGAGACTTAAACCCTGTGTGAGGAGAAACTGAAGAATTATGATAATAAAATAAATAAGTCCCACTTTATTCATCCCCATCAGGAAGTTTTGATTGCACTGGCAACACATACATAACATGATGCATATAATTAAACACACAAACATAAACAAAGAATACCAGATGCACAATATTATATTATATCAATGCAAGACAATTTTACTAATATGCTATTGCTGATAAAAATTGTTTATGGGTAAGGACTATTAATGCAGGACTGCCAATCGTTATGAATTTGGCGAAATTGTAACAATTTTTTACAATTTCAAGAGAATACGATCGTAATATCCCCGATTCTGATTTTTAACAATTTTGGTTACCTCAACCTCTGGCTAACTTTGCCAGTGTATATGGGGAGAAAAAGTACCACACCCGGACAGTCTTTATCTGGTAGCAACTCTGCCATAATTGCTTATTTTAGAAAGAGATTGGTAGTTTTTGTCCATTGTGTCTGGACTTCTGTTCATTGAGGTTGTACGATTTTCATTTCTGTGACGTTTTCCACGAAAAGAAACAGCTATTCAGCAAAGTTTTTTTCCAAACAGCAGAATATGCTGGCTATTGTATCTGGAAGTTTGCTGTTGGGTTGATAAAATCATTTTATCATGGGGATTTGGACAGTCGTGGTATATAGCAGGAATTTTAATGGAGGTGAGAGTCGAGGGCTGGTAACTAGCGAACAGCACTTAACTGTCAGTCTGCACCCTACTGTGTCTGCCCCCCCCCCCCCTCCAGTGTACATTTTGATTATATTTTCTGAAATAATTTTTTGTTTTCAGTGTTTCATTATTTGCTTTCTGTTTTTGGCTGTTAGCAAAAGAACTTACATATATTGTTATTTGTTTTTCAGTGGATGATGCGTACAGGAAGTGCAGTCAATGTGGCCCAAAACGATGGCTTCACCCCACTTCACACAGCCACTTGCTTAGGACATGTGGAAGTGTGTCGTGAACTTTTGAAGGGCGGGGCTAGCTTAACACAGAAGGACCGCGATGGATGGACGCCGCTCCACACAGCCGTCTGCTACGGCAACACTGACGTGATTCGACTACTCCTCAGTCAGCCCGGCTGTCCTGTCATGGCGAAGACTAGCACTGACGAGTCAATTTTGCACATCGCCTGTAGCAAGGGTAGAGTGGACATCATAGATGTAAGCTGACAACTATAACTGACATTTATTTGGCAAACAAAAGAGGTGCCACTTTACCTCAGTTTGGAGCAGAGTTGAACTTTGTGGTCGTATTTTTAAAACTCTTTACAAAGTTTAGGAAATTATCAAAGTACATTTACTTACTTGCTCTCCTCAGTCAGCTGAGGTAATATTCATGAGGACTAGAAAATGCTATGAAATGTGACTTTCAGGTATAGAGCAAAAAAAAAAGAAGATGACAGGAAGGCTTTTTTGTCTTGTTGTTTTCTTGATAAAGATAGACAAATTTTAGCTGTATGGGGAAAAAGAAGGGTCTTAATGACAGCTGGCTTAAAAATTTTTAAATTTCCCTAAGGTGTTTTTTTTCAAAGCTGAGCCGCGAAAGATATGGAAATCTTTGGGCTTGCAGCTCCCAGGCTGCATTTAAAATACTGAATACACCCGTTAAAGTGTTTATTTCTGTGACAGTTTCATATTTTTTAAATGGTTCTCTGTATTGTCATTTTTTCTGTGTTGTATTTCCAAAAATCTTTGTTGCTTTTTATTTCTATGGTTTTGTATTGTTCATTATTTTTATTTGTTCCGTTATCATCATTTCTATCATTTGTGTATTGTTCTTTATGTTTCAGCTGGTACTACAGAGAGGGTTACCTTTAGAATCACGGAACAAGTATGGTGCCACACCTTTGCATATAGCCGTCTACTACAACAGAATTCATGCCACTTTCTATCTAATCAAGTGTGGGGCTAATGTAAATACTACAAACAATGTTGGTAAGTAGCACTTGAAGGCAACTGTCTTGTTTCTTTGTTATCATAAGCTTTTTTTAACTGTATAGGCTAGTCTTTGAAGTCTTAATGTTTGGTATAAGTGTATGAGCTTATAGTAGTTTTAAAATGTAGCCTCATCTCTATGTAGTTCTATGTGAAAGATGATCACGTACTCTTTGCTATGCCGCAGAAAATAGATAAAGGGTTGAGACACTTTTGTTGGATGGTTTAAGAGGCAGGAACTGAGATTTATTTCGCAAGAGCGTAGACTACTTCTATGTGAAAGATGATCACGTACTCATTGCTATGCCACAGAAAATAGATGAAGGGTTGAGACACTTTTGTTGGATGGTTTAAGAGGCAGGAACTGAGATTTATTTAGCAAGAGCGTAGACTACTTCCACTTTGTTTTATAGTATAGCTTCAAGTACTTTCAAAGTCATTTCAATCATTATTGATTAGTAAATGCAGGAGCAATTATAAATGCAGTGTTCTTCGCCCTAGGTCTTTGTGTAGGGTTAAGTGGACCCCTTTGTCAGACCTTTGAATCGCTAGGAGTGCGTTCCATGAATCAGTAAATAGTTTTGCTATCTCAGTGTATGCTAAGTACTGCATCACCTTGACATGATTAAGTTCTACAGACTTCAAGCATTTATTTTATTGTGTTTGACACATTCACACCTACTCTAATGGCCACCCGTTCCAGACAATCACCTGTACAAACGGCCGCTTCGCACTTTCCCCATTGCATTTTTTTTCGTATGTAATTGTATTAGCTAAAATGTTCACCTATCTTAAGTCAGCCACTTTTCTCCTCAATGGTGGTCAGCCCTCTTGGACAATTTTAACTGTGTACCTCGCTCAAGCACAGTCTTGTAATTTGTACTTAGTTGATTATCGTGATATGGTTTTGCCAAAGTCAAAAGTCAAAAAGTGAAAAAATTGAAGTGTTGATGGTATCAGTATCAGTTTTTAAAAGTGTTTCCCCCTAATTGTCATGCAAGACTACAATGTAGACCTTGGTTTAAATCTTCAATGGGTAATTCTTGAATTCGGGTTGCCCAGGGAGTTTTCAAGGCTCCCTGCCCACTTGTCTCGGTCCTGTAATTTTAAATATTTTTTTGGTAAGTTTTTTACGCCGCTTCCAACTGCATATAGTCATATGAGCGCGCGGAACACATTAAACATTTTCAGCCTTTCTACTGCTACTCTTTGGCTCCTTCTAACTGCTGCCTTTCAGCCACTCCCCTGATCTTCTGGTAGGAAAGATCTACACCTATCCTTCTTGGACCAGGGAGAAAAATCTCGGAGGTCCTGGGTGCAAGTTGCGCATATTAAATATCCCTTGGTGGTCTAAAATCGATAAGAGTAGGCTTTGGGCGCCACCCGGGCAAAATTCAAAATTTCCTACCAACTGAAAATGTTTAATTATGTGTCCCCCACGCTCATATGACCTTATGCAGTTGCAAGTGCCGTAAAACACTAATCAAAAAAAAAAAAAAGAAAGGCTGCAGAAAGAGTCGAGAGCCCAGAGGAGGGGGCAAAGGAGGTGAGGGGGTGGGGGCATAGAGTAGAGGCGAAAGCAGACGACAGAACATTGCTAGATAGCAGGAAAGGAGGTGAAAGGAAATAATTTTTAGAGCAGAAAATTTTTCCGTCGCTACCTGGATTCGAACCTAGGACCTTTGAATGAGAGGTAAATACCTTAACGTGTAGGCCACGAGAGCCCCCTCTATCCTGTCAAAAATAAACTTTCAATGTGGAGGTGCTGCTTTGGAAATAACATGGATGGTTGGCGGCTCCTGCTTTCCTATCAAACATCTGTCATCCTTACCTCTCCTTCTCCTTTTCTTTGTTGCATGTTTATCTCAAGTAATATCTCTCGTCTTCGGTACTTCTATGACCTTTGTGTTGCAAGTGCAGTATAACTCTTGCTAACAGCAAAATCTTAAATAACCGTGCAGTGTCTGTAGAGCTGGTACCGTAGAATGCATAGGGGAAATGTTGGCCAGAATAGGAGTTAATGTCATAACAGGAGGGCAGTATGTTTAGATACTGTGCGTATTAAAAAGTTGACATACACATTCTTGCACGTACATGGTGAATGGTGAACATGCTCAAAGCGGAACATGCTCATATAGCCAACAGATTTTTAGGTTCCAAATTTTTTATTAAAACTTATGTATCATAAAACAAGAACATTGCGAAATTTGTACTTAACGGGAAAAAAAAAGAATTTTTAGAGACCAGAAGTAGGCTATGTACATTATCTATATAAACCTTGAATCGGCAATCAATTAATTAATTTTCTTTGTTTTAAACTTGTCTTAATCCATATTTTGGTAGATCTATCTTTTTTGTATGTTTTTCTGAACTTCCGTCTCCCAGCTGAAATTACAAATATTCTATTGCTGAGTCGTGAAAATCCGATAGATTTACCTTTTTTCAATTGATAACATTGGGTTAAAAGTTATGATTGCAGTTAATATGTTTCTTTACTGAAATTGGTCATGGGTTCCTTATTGGATTGTCATATAGTTGTTTTTTCTACTGGTTTGGTGGTCTTTAGAATGCTTTAATGTTTTTCGTCACAAAATTAATGACGAAGTTGGGGTCACAACATGAGTTGCTGCTACAGGATGGTTCTCGGGCATGTTAATTTATTATTTTAGTAATTTAACACGAATGTTATTGCTTAACAGTTATTATGGGGTTTTTTTGCTTTTCGAAATGATGTCAGTATTATGTGTATTACCCTCAGGTCTACGTCCTGCCTATCTGGCGGCAGTGCGAGGAGAAATGCAGATTTTACAGCTACTGCTCAGTGCTGGCTGCTTCTTACCGCCGGGCACGTGTCAGCCAGTGACACAGCATTCACCAAGCCTTGCCAGTGAGATGCAGGAAAAAGAGACTCGGCCCCAGACCCTGAAGGACCTGTGCCTGCTAGTAGTGAGAGCGACACTAGCTCCGCATTTGCAGAAAAACACTCGCTGCCTTCCTGTCCCCATCCCAGTGAAGCGAGCTCTAGCAATGCATGATTTGAGTTTTGTTGTTTCCAACGGCAACGGGGGCCATATGTTAGTCAGCATGGACCCAGATCAGTCCGGAGACAATCTGAATGAACTTGTGTTTCGGAAACTGGAGGACAGCTCAAGTGAGAGTGAAACCAAATAGGATGCTGTGTTTGTGTGTTATCATGTAGCTTGTGGTAACTTTCGTGGACTTTAAATGGCGGCTATTGCATTCTGTGCGTTCCTTTGTTTGTTTATTTAATCTCACAAGTGTTGTGTCTTGGGTCTAGTTTTCTGGAGAAAAAAATGTTAAATAATAATTTTACAGACTTTAAATGGCGGCTATTGCATTCTTAAAAATGTTTGTTGTTGTTTTTTTAATCTCAGAAGTTTTATATTGTGGGTCTAGATTTCTTACAAAGGAACGTTTAAAAAATATTTTTGTAGTGTCAGATCTTGAAAGAAGAAGAAAAGTTTTGCATAGAGGGATGTTATTTTAAGCAAAGATTTCATCTCATTATATGACTGAAATAACTTTTTACAATAGTAGAGGCTATCTTTTACCAAGACTAAGGGGACTTGTTCAGTTTGTTATTTTGGATTATATACTTTCTCCTTCAAACATGTAATCACAATGTACAGAGATTGTATTCACTGACAATTTTTATTAAAATGAAAGTGACGTGTGGGGGAAAAAAGTTTTAGTTGCCATTGTCAAAATGTTTTATGGACAGGAAAAAAATTGAAAGGTGACAGCTGTTTCAGAAAAATTTTGAGTCTATTTTCGAAATAGTTCTCTGTTTGATCTTGTTAAACTTATGAAACTCTAGCGCCTACTGCTTGTGGCTTTAGGTGCTGTGCACAGTTTTCATATCTATAAAATAATTATCAGAAAAAAGTTTATCTCTTTTTCATTTTTAATTGTAACAAGTGAACATTTTATGTGAGGTTTGACATTTTTTATGAGTGATTGTCTTTCATTGACCAGCTTTGATACTTTGATACCGATACTGATGTATCCTACTCATCAAAGCCTGATGTACTCATGTTGAGTTTTGTCTAATTTTGACTAACCTAAAAGTGAATATGAATATACAGCATCTGTTGGATAGTGGTTAACCTCTTCACTTTTGCACGCGGAAAACACAAGTTTATTTCTCGAGTAGGAAGGGTTGTTTTTTTTCATCAAGTATCTCCATCTATCTGCTGGGATGTTGCATCCTTCTCAGGTTGATTTGGCCGTGACTGATATTCAGTTGTGTAATACAGTTACAGTTACGAAAGAAAGAGAATATTGGCCCAGTATGGTAGCTGTGTAGTATGTTCAAAGCATGATCTATACCAGTGTCTGTGGTGTAGTGGTCAGGCCCTGACACTACAGCAGGAAACCTGAGTTCGATTTCCTAGTGAGGGGAACATTGATTGATTTTTCTGCCTATCTGCTGGGATGTTGTATCCCTGTCAGCCCTGTTTGGCACTAACAGGCAGGGTCAAAAGCCAGCCTTCTAAATGATCTAAATTGTGGCTATGGGTGCGTAAAACACCAACATTAAAAAGAAAAATAAAGAAGCACAATCTACTGTTTTTACATTTTCATAAAGCCATATCTCAGGTTGCTCTGTTTCCTTTCAGTTTCTAAAGATGACCATCTTGATTTTGTCAGTATGTTATTTCACTACCGGTATTCCCATTTGTTACAAAACAAAAACAAACTATGCAATTCTGTCAGATTGTGTCAAATTTTTACAGATCTCATATATAAAATGTATATTATCTAATTCTGGCACTCTGGTGTCCGTGATGTAGCAGTGAGAGCAGTTTGGTGCTTTGTTGATGTGCGGAGAAGATCCGAGTTGGCCCTGACCAGCAGAATTGAAGCTTGTTTCCAAATTTATCTAAATTGAGATGTAAAAACATGTACATTAATTTTTTTTAAATATTAAAACTGGCACAATGCTCAAAATAAGATAAACCTTTGTATTCATCATTTATTCGTATTTCAACACCTCTTTATTGCTCTTGAAAGCTTTTATGAATTCAGTAAGGTATAATATCTAGAAAACACAATGAAATCCTCGTACACTCGAAAAAGAGTTAATAAACATGTGCAACAAGTATAAGAGATCGAACTAGGGAAAGTAAGTTCTGCCTGATCCATGCAAACTTTAAAAATGTAGCACTGTGTACTGGTTTGGAATATATGTGCTCCTACAGATAGGGCTCAAGGGTTGACGGTTAAGTGCTTTGATGTGTGAGACGGGGAGTTACTATAGTTGATACTAACTTAAGGACATGTTTGTGATGACTTGAAGAATTGTTTCATAATGACATAGCATGCAGAACTGAGAGTGGGTGGTTGGCGAGTGCTCTAGTGTGGTTTTCTCCTTTTTCTCCTATCAAACATTGATCATCGTTATCTCTCCTCTTTCTTTCTTGTGGTTGTTACTCTCTTGTAACACCTCTAATCTTCAGTATATATGTGACCTGTGTCTGTGATGTATTAGGTTAGAAACTTTACCTTGCACTCCAAAGACATGACTTTGATACCTGAGTGAGAAGTTAGCCTTGATGTATCTCCATTTTGCTGCAACAATGGTGTTTCCCTCTAAGCTTAAGTTGGCCCTGGCAGGCAGGGTTAAGGCAGCCGAGGCTCTAAAGTGATCTCAATCCTTAAATTTTGACAACTGGGGCATAAAATTTACAATCAGGTCTATGATGATAGCTTACGTGAAAATTCCTTGGCTCATAAAATAATCATTTTATTGACAAGTCCATGACTTAACTATTGCTTTGTGTACAGTTGAAATGTTTCTGGGATTTATAAGGGGATGAAGAAGCGACTGTTCCTTTGCTGCTCGTGTTTGAATTTTATTTGCCACAGTACACTATGGCTGAAATCACTTTTATAGTAAGCTCTCTTGAACTTCCTGACTTAGTTCTTCTTTCATTGAGAAGTTTCAGACATTGGGATAATCTGATAATAGGATTCTGCCAAGCATTTTGCTTTTTCTTCAAGGATGTAACAAGTTACAATTTTTACTGACATATTTTTTTTTTGGGGGGGGGGGAGGGGGTTTGTGTATGGATGACCATTTGTCTGAGGCAAGTGGTAATCTATTTATGACACAGTGAATTATTATTATTATTTTTTTGTTGTTGACATTCCTCCATCATTGCATGATCTGTACCTAATAATTTGTTCAACGTCAATTCATATCAGTGTCAATAGTGTCATAATAATTAATGCGTTCATCTGTTCCCCTCTAAAAAATCAGAGCACTCAAATACCGGGTATGAATGTGAAAATATTTAATATACACATATATATATATATGTATATATATATATATATATATATATATATATATATATATATATAAAATAATATATCCGTAATTCCAATATAATATAAATCCTTGTCACCATAACACATCATACCTGTGGTTCATTTGTTCATAATCTCCATTGCCATGTTTCTCAACCTCAAACTGCTATATTTTGCACAGTTTTATACCATCAACAAAGGTTGTTTTTTCCCCCACTTTTTCATGGTTGTGGCGGGTTTGTTCGTGCAAATGCAAAGTGATTCACGTTTATTCAATATTATAATCGGGTCTCCTTGCCGAGGGTTTGGTTGCTAGTCGTTTATACATGATGTCTTAAGTTATGAGTATATATATATATAGATTTTGGGATGCCTGTGATGGGTTTTGCTGATTTTTTTTGTGTGTTTGCCTTATTCCCATATATATGTACATTATGAGCAGTACACCTTTGACCTCTGACCCCGAGACAAGTACAGCTGCTTCACTATCTATGACTCTGTGATTGTAAAGAAGTTATTGTTATGTCTAGGACTCGGTTTAATTAAAGCTCTGAAATTTTTTTAAACAGAGGAGTTTTATTTGGTGTTTAAAAAAATAATGCTTTGAAATTGTTCAATAACCTCTCACTGCTATCTGTGCTGGCTGTAGTTGTAGTGTAAGGGTTTGACTAGGTTCTTGCCCATAGCATGCAGAACTGAGAGTGGGTGGTTTGGGAGTGCTCTAGTGTGGTTTTCTCCTTTTTCTCCTATCAAACATTGATCGTTGTTATCTCTCCTCCTTTCTTGTGGTTGTTACTCTCTTGTAACACCTCTAATCTTCAGTATATATGTGACCTAATTGTGCTGCAAGTGCTTTAAAACACTTACTAAAACGAAACAAAACAAGCAGAATGGAGAAAATGTGAGTTGGATTTCTGTGTGCAGAAGTTATTTTATATGGAGTGTGTCAGTGTGTCTACAGGGGTGCTGTATCCCACCCTACCTGGGCTGACCCTGGCAGCTGGGTCAGGGAAATCTAACTCCTAAATGGTCTTGCTTGTGTTGTGTCAATGGAACCGTAAAACTTTATAATCAATCATCCACTGACTGCTATTGTATATTTGGGTTTGGATCTGATAACTTCTTCTCTGTTCTTGTGACGATGAAGCTGTTTTTTTTTAAACTTTTGCTTTTTACGACGCGTTTGAGTTTGGAAGGAAGGACTCGTATTTATTCTTCCAGTGAGAACCAAAGAATGTGACTAAGATAGGGACTCACCACTCTCGAAGAGAAACATAGTATGGGGATGGGGGTCCAGTGACTATAAAATCTTTGATGACCAGTATTACAATTTTACTGTACATAGAAAAGCAAGTACATGTACTTTTGTTCTTGATGAATATTAAAATTACATGTATTTTACTATGCCTGTGTTGTTGTCTTTTGATTCAATTTTTATTACTATTATAATTATAATTGAAGTGGTTGCTGCTGCTAGGTCCTTCCGTATTTCGGGCTTTTCACTTCCGCTGAAATTTGTCCGTCGTCTCTCTTTTTCCCTGTTTTAAAAATTACAGCCACTATGTTGAGTTGATTCATCAATGTGCTCCTCTTTATTCAAACTCACATCTCTTGTTGTGTGTGACAGCAAAGTGCCGAACCACTACACCAAAGACGCCCCTAAATATGAATGTGACTCATTGTGACTGAAGTTGTTTTTGCGTGTGCCCTGCTTTCTGTTAGAAAATAATCTGTAGTAGAAACAAAAGAAGAGTTTTGACTCGTCCTGTTACATGTACCTGTTGTTACAAACTGCTTAAAGTTCGCCTCAATTACTTTTGAGAATATAGTTCAGCAGAGTGTACCTCCAAAGGGATGACTTCAGCGTGTGCTTTTAATTTCCCATCTCTGTTGAAATAATTTCAGAATCTTCATAAGGAGTAAAGGTTTTCCACATTACACATACTGTCCACTTCTCCCTCTCCCTCTCCCTCTCCCCCCC